AACCCAGAGAAAGAAGTAATTGAGGAATTGAAGACCTGTAAGATATATATACAGGCAAAGAGTGTGAAGAAACAGAACCATCAGACAGTCCCTAGGATATTAAGGCCCTTGAAGTGAGTCTATATGGATTTTTGGGGTCCATATAGTAAGGCAAAGACTTATAAGAAGTGGAGATACTATCTCTTCCTGACTGATGACTGTACACGGTTCTTATGGATCTATCTGATAAAGGATCGGGAAGCTGTCACAGTGAGAGCTATCTTAGAGAAATGGTTAGCTCAGGCAAAACATGAGAAAGATATTAAACTGCTTGTTATTCAGACTGATAATATAAAGGAATTCAAGGCATTGAAGCCATAGACCTTAAAGAAAGATATTATAATTGAATTCACAGAGTGTAACACGCCTTAGTAGAACGGCATGGCTGAGATGTTAAATAGATATCTCCTAGAGATGACACGAGCAATCCTGATAGATATAAATATTCCTAAGAAGTATTGGCCGTACATGATTTGAATGGCCATCTACCTTAGAAATAGAACAGTCCGGGTGTGAGGCACCAAGAAAACACCCTTTGAGATGTGGATAGGGCATCCTCCAGAGATATCAAAGCTTCAGATTCCGTTCTCTAGAGTATGGTTCCATAGGAAGACCAATGATAAGATGGAGCCATGAGCTATTGAGGGAGTATTTATAGGATATAAGTTAAGCAGAAACCATTATCTGGTTATAGCAAAGAAAGACCAGAAGATCTACCGGGTGATAAATCCTATATTCCTGGAAAATAAGCGAGGTTTCATCAGCAAGGAACCAGGAGTTCAAGATATCAGGGACAAACCTGTATTCTAAAGGGATTTAGGAGTTCCTAGTATAGGAACTGGGGGAGGCATCATTGAGGCGCCTATAGAGAGTGCAGGAAATGATGCAAGTAATGAAAATGACAGTGTGATCAACACAAGCATCTCAGGTGCTGCTGATAAGCATGGTGTTGACGAGTACGCTGTTGGTGAGCATGGTGTTGATAATGAAGCTGAAGTTGAAAGCAGCAGAATTAGATCAGAAGGCGGTCAGAATTCTGATTCGACCAATCAGAATCCAGAGATTGAATCACCGATAAGCCAATCTGACCAGTCTGTTCAACTAAGCCCAATAAGGCCAGTTGCACCATCACCATCACCACCACTCCTGATATCAATTGAGCCCTCTGATACACCACGACCAAGCCGAATTCGGAAGCCTACTCAGGCAGTCATTGAGTCGAAACAGACAGAGGCTATCTATGGGCGAAAGCCACGAGCCCAGCGCCGTAGAGAAGAGAGGGAGGCAGATAAGGATCCTTCTCCACGGCTTATAGCTGCAGAACAGCAGCGAATCAATGAAGTGGCTAACTTAGCTGTAGCACTAGAGCTTTATCTCAGTGATCAGGATGCTTTTAAGGCTACTAATGAGGAGTTCAATAGGCGTACGATCCCCATTCCGAAGACTTATAAAGAAGCAGTCAATGATCCTGCCTATGGAGCTAAATGGAAAGAAGCTATCAAGCTTGAGCTGAATAATCTGATTTGATTTGGGACCTGGAGATATGTCAAAAGACCTAAAGATCAAGCTGTGGTATCAACTAAATGGGTCTTTGATATCAAATACTCAGCTAATAGATAAATTGATTAATTTAAAGCTCGACTAGTGGCACGAGGCTTCTTTCAACAGGAGGGATTAGACTATAAAGATATATTTACCCTAGTTATCTGATTAGAAAGTCTCCGAATCCTATTTGCTTTAGCAGTCAACTATAGCCTAAAAGCACATTTACTTGATGCAATAAATGCCTATATTGGGTCAAGAATTGATAAGCAGATCTATATAGAGATCCCAGAAGGAGTCAGTCCTAATTCCTATGATCTAAATAATATATATAAGATTCTACAGTTATTGTACGGTCTCCGACAATCCGCCTATCTCTGGAATCAGAAGGTCAAGAGATTTATTATATCTATTGGTTTCTAGTAAAGCACTGCAGATCCTGAAGTCTTTATTAATAACTGTAGTATTATTATAGCACTCTATATGGATGATATCTTGATCTTTAGTAAAGATACTAGAGACATTAAGTCTATAAAGAATCAGTTAAAGTATTTTTATCCTATAAAAGACCTAGGACTTATATAAAAGATACTGGGAATATAGATTACCTAGAATAAGGATTCTATCCAGCTTGACCAAGAGTTCTATACATGATCTATTTTAGAGAAATTTAGAATAACTAAATTAATATTTTAAGCTATTCTACTTAGCCCTAGTATTAATCTGAACAATAGATCATCTAGGAAGCTCACCCGTGATCTGTACAGCAAGTTCAGGAAGATTATTAGATAACTTATATATCTTGCTGGTGATACTAGACCAGATATACAGTTTGCTGTTAACTGATTAAGCCAGTATCTTGCAGATCCCTAAGATATTTATCTCAGAGCTTTAAAATAACTCCTGCGCTATATAAAAGGAATTATTACTTATAGTATTATATACAGCACAAAGGGAAGTGATAAGACACTAGTAGGCTATTCAGATTTATTATATAGGAATGCCACGGACTATCACTCAACGAGTGCTTATATATTCATGATAGCAGGCAGACTAATTAGTTGGTGTAGCAGGAAGTAACCTATCACCGCTATGTCTACTACCGAGGCGGAATATATCGCAGCTGTAGAGGCATTAAAGCAGGCTATCTGGATCAGACATTTCTTAGCAGCTATCCGGAAGTGTCCTAAAGAGCCAACTAATATAGGGATTGGTAATAAAAGCAATCTACTAACCTGATTAGGAATCGACAATCAAGGTGCTTTAGCGTTAGCATCCAACCCAGTCAATCACCTACACAGTAAGCATATTCGCATACGATATTATGCTATTCATGATTTCATTGAGTATAGCGATATCAAGCCATTCTACATACCTACATCTGAAATGGTTGCAGATGGACTGACCAAGGCAACTAAGGCTGATAGCTTAAAGCAATTGATCAGAATACTGCAACTGGAGTTAAAATAAGGTTCTATGATACAACATCAAGATCCTCAGACTGATAAGATAAAGGCATTTAACACCCCTACACACCAGTTCTATATTTTTGCTTTATTTCCTATTTAGAAAGCTAGTATAGCTTCATTTCATTCATTTCAGGATATTGAACGAAGGGGAGTGATATGAATCTATAGGAGACATGTGATCGCTTTAGCGGCTTGGCCGGATCACCAACTCTTCTGCCCCTGAAGGCTTCACCCATTAGTAGTTGATTAAGAGAAGAAGGAGAAAAGATAGTTGATATAGTCATCCATAGAATTGAGATCTATCAGAATGGCATCCGGTCCTCAGTAGGCTACGTACGTGTAGCTGATACAGCCTCATTCTGCCCATCTTTCCCCTGAGATCACAACAGAGCTAAATAACTGAGATAAAGATAGCGCTAGAATAATATTCTTATTATTTTTATTTTAATCCTCAGGCTCTGATTGGTCAGAGAAAATAATCTCATAATCATCAAGAAAATCATCCATTTTAAGCACTTTTTATAATCCTTTAGGAAGCACCTTTTTTTAAGGAGATATTGTATATATGGATTTGAAAGAGATTTACTAGTGCGGTTTTATGATCACATGACTGGATTTACCTTCCTATTATAGTATAGCGTCTCATCCAAATAACAATTCCCATTATATACTGCTAAGAAGTCTACTTAGAGTTAGGCTGACCGTTGGGACGGGATAATCCCAGGGATTTCGGGATGGGATTTTGGGATTTTGGGATGGGAAATGTGAATAATGCCAAGACAAATATGGGAATCTCGTTTTTAAGGTTAATCCGGATAGGAATCCCATCCCATTTTAAAATTAGGATTGGGATTCCCGTTCTAGCCCTACGTTTGGGATGGGATGGGAAACGGGATGCCAAGAGGGAAATTGGGATGGGAAGTGGGATACCAAGAATGGGATAGGATGGGATGGGAAATTCCCACTCCCGTCTCATCCCATCCCAATGGTCAGCCTACTTAGAGTTACTGTTTTGCCCTCTGCCTAAGATATAATAAAGAGAGAAGAATATAGAAGCTATTAATTATTATATCTTGCTTGGTAAGTTAGTCTATAAGTTTATTCTCTACTATTCTTGAGTGGCCTGGGATCCAGCGCATCTCTAGGTACTTATATAACAAGTCCAGAAGAGATAAGGCTTCCTTCTATTATATTAACAGAGGTCGAAAGATTGTACGCAACTTGAGACATCTTCCTTGGCCGAAAATTATATGTTTTCTGTCTCTATGTATAGTGGATGTTAATAGTATGACAAGTCTTTCTGTAACAACATATCAAAATACATCTATATTCAAACACGTGGCTTGGGGTAATCTTGAAAGATAAGGTGTCTTGACTAATGACCGGGGCACAGTTGGATATATAGTCTGGAGCACGTTACCTGTAACGGCTCAGGCCAATGTAGATAGATTGATCATATTGGGTAGCTCTAATACGAGAGAATCGCTTGAAGAAGAGAATATCCCACGAGCGAAGCTCTGAGATATTGTCTATCTCGAATACAAACAGAACAAACAAGAATCATGCACTACTTGCTGATATTCACTATGAACTCAGCAGCCTGTATTGACTGCGCCGTCACACTTTTCGTGATTGCAGAATATGACACATCCAGGCGAAGCTTATGAAATCGGCACATAGCAGGTATAAAAACCACGATTATACAGCAAACATTCTGATTGAATGCGCAAAATGCACACTTCGCGGAATAGTGTTCGGCATCCCGCTCCATAAATCCATGAATTGCCACACCCGAGACGCACAAAAGGCTTGGCGGAAAATCTAGCCGTTTAGGGTTAGCGGACAATCCAAGAAATCATTGGGCTGATAAATATCCGGGAGATATTATATAGTTGCTTTCCTGAATGTTGTGGCGAAATAACAACTCATGTCCACGCCCACGTGGGATGACCCGAACTTACATCATCAGTAGAATGAAAACAGAATTTCTAAATATTTTCAGAATGGTGATGTATTTAAACCTCAATTTTTCCTTAACAGATTGTCTTAACATTCCATTCTATTGATCAGATATACTGTGTCAAAAATTCTCTTTTTGACTTTCATTCCTACCGCAGCCATGGCAGCAACATCCAATCCTACCCTTACAGTCACACACGTCACCACTGCAACTGCCATCCTCAACATTAATGGAGTCAACTTCCTGACGGATCCCTTCTTCGGAGCTATCGAAGGGACAGAATATGATTCCACCGCAGTCTGGGAACAAGTGGACCTGAAAAAGTTCGGGTTTGAAAGCATTCCACCACCACCACACCTTATCAACAAGCAAGGACCAGCACTTCAGCTGAATGAGCTGCCGCCTATCGATGCTGTGCTTTTGAGTCATGAGGATCACCTTGACAATTTGGACCCCGAAGGCCGTAAGCTGCTGGATGGTCGGAAAGTGTTCACCACCGTCGACGGTGCCACCAACTTGCGTCCACGCCCGGGAGTCGTTGGCCTTCGACCTTGGGAAACTGTGACGTCCTGCATTGGAGGAAAAACGTACCGAATTACTGGTACCCCTTGCAAACACTTCCCAATTGGAGAAGTTACCGGCTTCGTCCTAGAGACCGATTCGTTCGGCCTTGATGCATCTGGCAAGCCTAACGCAATCTATTTCTCTGGCGATACCGTGTATATCGATGAGCTTCGAGAGATTGGAAAGAAATGGCATATTAGTGCAGCCATTTTCAACCTGGGCAATGCCACCTTTGACTTCCCAACTGGTCCAATTCAGATCACAATGGACGGTAAACAAGCCGTTGAGCTTGCTCGTGATATCGGTGCCGATGTCATAGTCCCAATTCACTTTGAATCATGGGAACATTTCAAGGAGGGCCGGACGGAGTTGGAGGAGGTTTTCGCCCAAGAGGGATTTTCGGACAAAGTGTGCTGGACAGCTCCTGGAGTTCCCAAAGTTGTTTTTTAACTCTGAATCTCTGAGAATTGTGACCCTACGGCCTCATCTGCGTGCTTTATGTTTTGATTTGTTCTACATCTTCCCACGGATGCCCTAGTTGATTCAGATTAACTTAAAGAATTCAAAAGCCAATATTTTACACTAGCTTATCCAAATCTGTATTTTGACAAAAGAAACACGTTATGGAATGAAGAATAGTCCACTCGGTAGGAACAGGATTAAAAGAGTATTTGGAAGTTTGGGGATCTTAGGACTTCTTGATCATGAGCCACGGCCGGATCTACTGGATAGTAGACAGTACTGGAAGTGTCAGAGGCCATCGCCACCATTGTACATCAACTCCCATTCGAACAATAGCCTGGAACGCTGAGTTTGCGGCTGGAGGCAAGATATAATCAATGCCACAGCCAATAGAGTAGCCCCAGCCTCTACGATTTCAGTCCTCTATGTAAGAATTGGCTACAGTGCTTGAAAGCGAAACACGGAAAATGCGCTTCAGCTCTTACCAGTAGCAAAGGTTCCATGGCTGCCAAGTGTTAATGAGGAAGAAGAACTATGTATTAGACAGAGTTAAGAAGTGATAGCCACGGTTTTGGAGCCGAATGAAACCTTCTAGCCTTTGAGAACCCGCCAATAGACGTATCAAAGCCATGTAGATAGAGCCAAAAATCTACCAAGAACAAGTTATCCGTTCATTCTCCACGTTCAATCGTTAAATGCCATGCAAGCAAGGGCCTAATTCAGCGGTTGACATGACGAGCCACGGCTCGCTTGATTTTAAGTCTTGTTTTGAGATTGTGTAACGCAAAATGATCTATCCCAAACGGCCGGGCGTCTTGTACAGTCTCTGCAGTAAAGGACAGACTCGGAGCTGAATGAAACCTCTCGCTTCTTATGGAAGTTTCCCCAACAGATATATCAAAGTCGTATAGATAGGGCAAACTATCAATTGCAGATAGAATCTCACGCCATGTACCAGACTCGATCTTCACTTGTCTTAGCTCGATATACTGCATCGACTCCTTACATTTCTCAATGATATTGACGAGCTTTCGAGATGAAACTTTCACTTTGTGCAGGGACAAAAGCCGTAGGAGGACCATTGAGCTGAGTTCAAGACGATCAATGCTCAAATAGTTGGTGCTACTGAGTGACAGGGAAGTCAGGTTTGTCGAAAGCTCGACGATCCTTAACAAGTGAGCCGCACAGGATTGTTGGTTTGTCTGCGCATAGACGTGCAATCCAAGATACTGAAGGCGGCTGAGCGTCTGCTCAATCGGTATCCGCAATCTGCTGGTATTCTTGGCAAATAATGGGGCAAAATCGTTCGTCATTGGTAAATGAACTTCAAGTTCTGTCAAGTTGGGCAAAGGCACATAGCATAACGACATGAGTATCGTGTCGATCGATGCTTTCATCTTATCATGAGGCAAGAGCGCTAATGGCGGACCACGGAAGTCAAGGGCTTTGAGATTGTAAAATTGAAGCAAGCATGAAGACAGCAAGGCGGCAAGGTCTTCCGTGTATAAGCTAACCTCCCGTATCGAACATGGGAAGGAATCGTATCCAATGTCGACTTGACGCACATATGGGGCATATGGGCTTTTGGACAGGTTCACTAGCCTTCCTAAAGATGGTAACTGGGTGGTGTCGTACGATGAATGGGCCATGGCTATAATGTGTCGAAAGAGACGGGTTGAGGCACTATGACAGAAGCTTTTGTTGACTAATCGGAGTTGAGCCAAGTTCTTCCGGTTCTTCTGGTTCGTTATCCGAAATTCGCGAGCAGTCGATGTCCTTGAAGAATATTGCGAAGTGTCGATCTCGACGTAAAATATAATCTGCCAAACGATTGTTTAGGTAGGTGCGCAGAGCTGGACTGGTACAGGTCATACAAGGTCAATTATCTCTTGCGGAAGATACATATCAATCAATGGATAAGCATCCTCGGCCGGAAATTATCCTGGTGAAAGGCTGATTCTGGATTCCAATGTTGCGGTGAGCCCCTGTGCTCTTATCACTCCCGAATTTGGAAGAGAAAAGGGAGCCCAGCTGACGACAGAAAAAATTAGCAATCGTCTTCCTTTTACCGGCGTTTCCGTAAAACACAAATATGATTTTCGTTCCGATGTAAAGTTTTGTAATTGATATTGGGTCAATCAAAAACAAAGCAGCAAAGCATCATCCATGGACGTTCCGCGTTTAGTCGTGTCTTGGCGGGTAATCTAACCATTCTGGGACAGGGTGGAGGTTAGGAAGCGCTACTGAAACCTATCAGGTGGGTCCCTGAAGGTTGTGCAACGTCGGAAAGCTCAACTAATCGGCGATTGAAACCATGGATACTGATCGGTATCCCGCCTGTCCTCCGATCGAAGTGGCGCAGTCACGTGTATCCCGGCTTCTCCCCTCTTTGCAGTCGATGTACCTATCATATGTGGCTGATAAATCATTGACCAATGTCCTTCCAAGGCTGGGTATAAATAAATGCACACCATCTTCTGAATAACTGCATTAATCCCAAGACCTTAGAGTTACGACTAAATCCGCTAACTTCGACACAATATGCGGTGAGTCTCTTCATGAGATTTGTAATACTGTTCTCTAACACTCAATTAGAGACGAATCCAGTCCTTCCACAAAAGCTGAAGAAGGGGCCTATTACGACCTTGGTTCGTATCGTCGATCAGTGACCACTTCGTCGGCGGAAGCTCAATTGTGGTTCAGTCGCGGATTAATATGGGCTCATTCTTTCAACCATGGCGAAGCGGTTCGGTGCTTTGAACGAGCTGCCAAAAGTGACGCCAATTGCGCTATGGCGCTATGGGGAATTGCGTATGCGACTGGGCCCAACTACAACAAGGCGTGGAGATATTTTGACCCAGAAGATCGTCAGGCTTCTATCAAGAAGGTCAATGATATCCTTGCCCGAGCGTCCAAGTTAGCGAGCCAGGTCACACCAGTCGAACAAGCGTTGATCGGGGCAATCGGCAGTCGTTTCCCACCAATTGATGACATTCCCGAGGATCTGGGCCCTTTCGACCACGCATATGCGGACGCGATGCGCTCTGTGTATCATAAATTCAGCGATGATGTGGACGTGGCTGCGCTATTCGCGGAAGCACTGATGTGTATCACTCCGCGCGGGCTATGGGACCTGAACACCGGTAAACCGACCGGGGATCACACAGTCGAGGCTCGCGAAGTGATTGAGCTGCAACTGAAGCAGGATCCTGGTCGCAGTCATCCGGCAATCTGCCACTTGCACATACACATGATGGAGATGTCGCCATTTCCAGAATTGGCTCTACCGGCTGCGGATCGACTACGTGGCATGGTTCCGCACGCTTCACATATGTTACACATGCCCACGCATATTGATGCCGCCGTTGGCGACTATCGTCGTGGTATCGACTCCAATCATGAAGCGATACTTGCCGACGACGTCTACTTTGCCCGAGAGACGGGTATGACTATGTACGCGGCTTACCGGGTGCATTACGTTTGTGCAAAATTGTATTCCGCTATGATGTCCGGCCGATTCACAGACGCGATGTCCGCTGCAGAAAAGCTCGAGCAGATCATTGATGCCAATCTGCTATCCGTCAAAAGCCCTCCAATGGCAGACTTCGTCGAGAGCTTCCTAGGAAGTAAGGCGCACGTGCTAGTGCGCTTTGGTCGCTGGGAAGAGATCCTTGAGCTCAAGCTTCCCACCGATCATGATACATACTGTGTAACTACAGCCACCGTCCATTACACCCGCGGGCTTGCGTTCAGTGCACTTGGGAGGATTGCAGAAGCCGAAGTCGCTCAAAAGGAGTTCGAAACAGCGCGCAAGGCCGTCCCTAGCTCGCGACTTAATAGCATTCCATGCAAGGAGGAAGATGTTCTCGCAGTTGGCTCTGCTATGCTTGCCGGTGAACTAGAATATCGGAAGGGAAATATCGAGACGGCGTTCCATTTCCTTCGGGAAGCCATTGTGCGTGAGGATGCCCTCGCATATACTGACCCACCGGCCTGGATGCAACCAGTCCGCCATGCGCTCGGTGGCCTGCTCCTTGAGCAGGGACTTGTTGAAGAAGCAGAAACGCTGTTCAAGCAGGACCTTGGTTTCTCTCTGGACTATCCTCGGCGTAAGGCAAAGCTCAATAATGTTTGGGGGTTGCATGGCTTATTCGAATGCTTCACTCGCCTTGGAAAGAGCCAAGAAGCTGCTTTCATTCAACCTGCACTGGATATTGCTTTGGCATGCGCTGACGTCCCAGTGAAGGTTTCATGCTTCTGTCGAACTTCTGCGGTGAGAAATGATGGATGTTGTTCATGATTAATGTTGTTAGTTAGCTTCAGGGATCAGGCAACCACGGTGGCAGCACCTATTCTTTGTTATCGTCATTGAGAGCTCTAAGTATGTTGGATGCCTGAGGCCACCACGGGTGACAGGACCATATATATAGTTCTCTCCCTCTCTATTTCTTTCTCTCTTCTTCTCTCCCTCAGTGAGGGCTTCGCTCGGAATGCATCACTATATTTCTCAACTCCTCCTTGCGTAGCCTTTCATCAAAATATCTCTCTTGTCTCTACCTGTGTCTCTCTGTGTCTACATTCTCCCTTGCATTCATCCGATTTGATAGGACATTCAACATCTGCGCACAGTTTCTCCTTGCGAATTTCCTTGTACCAGGGTTCCTATAATGATGCTAGGAGTTAGGCCATCATACAGCGCTTTGCTTATATATGTCAGTGCCTTGAACTTTACCCGCGAGGCATTAATTCTTGTCTTATTATGTTAAAAATGGAAACAGTCGACGGCTCGCCGTCCACACTCCAATGGTATGAGGAAAGCCGCTTAAAATATCAACAAGTAGAGGTTGGGTTTTGGAGCGTACCGAAAGAATATGGTATTCCAGATGCGACAATCTACTAAGAAAATTAGTATTCGCCACGCTGAGTTAGCTGCGGTCGTTCTTCGCCAATTCTCCAGAATCTAGAAGAGCAGTCGAAACCCCTTTTTCAAGGCTATGTTGTCGTCCCCCACTTACAGTAGGTAGCAAGGCAGAAGTAGAAAATGTCTTGGCGGGATACGTTTCCCCATTAAGAAAGTGAACCACAGAAAATCAGTTACTAGGTACCGGATCATAATCATCAGATATATATCCAGCAGACTAATACGTCAGGATGATTAATTCCCTGGCTCTCACTACCTTTCTAAACCTATATAAACCATCAAGTAGAATGAAATAGATCACAGCATACTAAGGATAGATCTCACGGTTTGATCTTACAAGAAAAGTCAAGTTCAAAATCTCTCCTACATTGAACATCACCCATATTGGCACTGCCACCGCCATTCTCGAACTTAACGGTTTTAACATGCTCACTGATCCTTTCTTCTCACCCGCTGGATCTACGTGGCCAATCACCGACAAGGTTGCCCTTACTGTGGAAGACGATCTTGCTCTCCGTCTAGAGCAACTCCCTGTTATTGATGCTGTACTTCTGAGCCACGAAGATCACCCCGACAACCTGGATGAGCTGGGCCGGCGCCTTCTAAATGACCGCCGCGTCTTCACCACTGTTGATGGGGCCAAGAACCTGTCTCCTGGCCCGCGGTTCATGGCTTAAAGCTTTGGGGAAAGATAGACACTGTCATCGCCGGACAGAAGCCCCAGATCATTGGCACTTCAACACAGCATTTGCCTGGTGGTGAATACACTGGCTTCATTGTCACAGGAGAAGGATTCGGAACTGGTCGGGACGGTCTTCCAAACGCAATCTGGTTCTTAGACGACACTGTGTACATCGACGAATTGAAGAAGATGGCTGAAGAGTATCATATTTGCGCTGCCGTTCTCAACCTAGGCAACGCATATGCCCCTGCGAATCTTGAGGGCCCTAATGGTCCCCTGCTGCAGATTACCATGGATGGCAAATCGGCTGCTAGGTTAATAAAAACAGACGTCCTGGTCCCTATGCATTATGAGTCGTGGGGCCATTTCACACAGTTCGGGGAGGAGCTGGCCGAAGGTTTTGAGAGTGAGAGCGTTATGGATAAGGTGTGTTGGCCGAAACCAGGAGAGGCAGTGTCTGTTTGTAGGTCTCCTATATATTTCAGGAGGAAGTTCAGGCAGCCGTCTCTTAGGTCAGCAGACCCACCCGCCCTTCGGCGTGTTGGTCTGCCTCACCCAAACGATAAATTTGAAGTAATTCAAGCTCCTGTATACAACCACTATGCCTGATTCTTATTCTGATATTGAGAAATGTATCTCAGAGGCCTGTACAGTTGCCCAAGGCCAAAAAAAGCCCAATATCTCTGCATTGGCGCGTTAATTCAACGTTCCTTATCAACAACTTCGAGCATGTATTTATGGCCGAGCAAATCTTTCTTCACGTCCTATCTCAACCAAAACCCTTGATAATTCACAAGAGAAGACACTGATTTGTTAGATTCGTTAACTTGATAATCTATATAGGCCACCTACAGCTGGACAGATTGAGCAGAGTGCCAACCAAATACTGTAGCGGAATATGATCAACAGGCAACCTCATACAGTTAACAAGAACTGGGTTTATTGCTTTATTAAACGCCTCCCAGACGAATTCAAGCTTATTCAGCAGAAGCCAAAGGATAGAAAGTGTCTTGATGAAGAGGATATAGATATTCTTCAACACTGGTACAACAGCTTAGAGCCCTTTGTCAAGCAGATTCCTCCCAAAAATATATATAACTTTGATGAAACTGGCTTCCAACTGGGACAGGGAAAGTCTCAAAAAGTTATGACTACTATGCCAGTACAAGCTGCAAGAGGGAATCCATCTAAAGAAATGGGTGAACTGATCTCTGCAATAGAGTGTATTGCAGCAGACGGTTTTGTTCTTCCTCCATACTTTATATTTAAAGGCGTATATCATCTGGAGAGGTGGTACAATGCTGATATTCCTGATAAATATCGAATAGCTCTATCTCCTAAAGGCCATACTTCAGATAAGATTAGTCTTGACTGGATTCAACGCTTCCACCGTCAAACACAATGCCGTATCTCTAAAAAAGAGGTTCTATTACTACTGTTTGATGGCCACGAGTCCCATCTTACCTATGAATTTCTACAGTTTTGTGGACAACACTATATTATACCTTATTGTTTCCCTCCTTATACAACACATCTTGCACAACCTCTTGATAGGCAGCCTTTTCAGGCCTATAAGCACTTTTATCGCAAGAGAAACAATAAACTTGCTTAAAAAAGTGCTGAGATAGATAATAAGAGTGATTTCTTAAAACAGATTCATTCTATTCGTACAATGACTTTCAAACAGTGTACAATCCGGCATTCCTTTGAGAAGCGAGGTATATATCCTTTGAATTCAGAAAAGATAATAAAGCCGTCATGTGAGGCTAATGTAACTGCTCCAGAACTTGAGATAATTACAACACCATCACCACCACCGTCAAGCTCATCACCGCCATCTACAATACGGGGTCTTCGCCGAAGTATTAGTAAAGCGCAGAACTTTATTAATAATAGCCCAGAGCTTGATCAGAGCTTTGTACGACGTCTTGACCGAGTATTCCAGAGCTCACTGGGAGCCACTGGACTAGCCGCTCAGCTTAACTCCATGACAACACTGCATCTTACAAGTAAGGGGGAAAACGTAAATTATAAAGCGTTTGCCAGCGTTAAACGATTTGCGGACCAATCCTACATATATTCAAGAAGAAAATATAATGTTTTAATACATACTGAAACTATACCTCACTGTCGAAATTGATAAGTTTTCTGATATTTGCCAGGAGCGTTGCATTTCCTTTTTAGATTTAGCACAGCGTTATATTTCCTAATTTGGAGTAGCACTAATTTATTAAGGCTTCTATTAACTCCTGTGAGATTTTGTTCAGGCTTATCTGCTGCCCTTTGACACTAGCCTAATTTGTCTAGCCTAGTCCTGAAAGAGTGGGGAAAGCACAATATCATAATATAAGAAATATACTGAAAGCACTCACTCTACCACCTAGACCCGATCCTAAATGGCTTCCACCTACCAGCAGTGGTATAATGCTACCAGTTTTATCCAAGGCCAGCGTGATGCAATCTCTGCAGGCTGGTAACAATTCTATACCGCCAATGACCGCAGCGCGCAAATCCACTGTGCACGGATTGCAGATATAGTGATCCCTTTATTCACCACTGCCAATACGCTGGTTGAACAGTGACCTACAGTGATCTAAAATTCCTTAAACTAGACCACCTCCCGTCTCTCTTAACGGACCCCTGAATTTGACTCGTGGGCGCTGCCCCGGGATCTCGAGAAGTGCAAACAGGCAGTCTCTGTATAGATATCATTCCTGGCCTTTCTGACCTTTTACTGGCATGGTTATGGTTCTGATGGAGCTCTGGAGACTATGGGGCTTCGGTTACCATGGCCGCTTAAGGACAGTATCAATACTATCCATAACTATGTAGAGACTGGACATATCCAGACTGCACTTCAACATACTATTAAAGAATTCCTGATTCAGGTAATCACTGATGTCCAGGCCATTCCCCAGACTAATCTCCTGGTCTGGTGATTAGCTATATTGGTTTAAATAGAAGTGCTGGACAACCAGCCTCGCTAGCAGGTAGCCTAACTATAAGATATATTGGATTTCCTATAAAAGCTTGAGGCTGTTAATTATTATACCTGTGTTTTGGTACTGGAATATGCCTTTTCTCAATGGCTTGGCGACACATCACCCCACGGAATGAGTCCAGTCCAAAAAGGGCAGGTTATTGAGACACTGGATGAAATGTCTCTTGACTGGCTTGCTCATGATGAGGAACACCCTCCAGTAGACATTTTTAACAAGCTTCAGGAAGCCACATCTCTTGAATAGAGAGTATATATCTAGTACATTCAATTGATCCTATATAATACATAGTAGTACAGGGGGGTCTATATAATAGTGGCCCCCGCACTCTACGGGCCATCGCGGGTAGACTACGGGACACCGCAGACGTAGGCTGGTACAGTTTCCCGCACAGTCTATGTACGTTGTATGCCGCTTATGTAATACCTGTTTTCCCATACAAATCCTGTAGACTGTATGGATGAGTCAGTATTCCATTAGGGTATTTCCCATAATCCTAATAAAATTGCCGGCGCAGAGTATCCTCTCTTTGATAAATACAATTCCAGTATTTAAGTGTTTAATTAACTTTCTTATTCTAATCTCTTTTCTAAGACTCTTCTTAGAGCCTTGTTATAACTTTATTCTCTCTAATTTCTTCCAAAGTCATGTTCTCTGATCAGCCTACCCAGTATTATTTATTATATACAGTTTAGAGATATATAATCTTAAATCCCTAAGTCTAAATCTAATTAACTTAGTGATCAGAGCTAAAATAATACTTGCTATATATTATTCTTCTGCCAGTAAATTACTGAGCTTAATTTCCTTGGTAGATAGTATACCAAGTAAGAAGTGTAGAACAAAAGAAAATCAGGACTCTTCTAGTAACTTAGTAAATTATATAGAATACCTAAATAATTAGTTAATAGTAGTAATTATCTATTCTATATAAATAATATCTTTAGCTAACTTATAAATAGATTTTAAGTTCTCTAAAGTAAATATATATATATCTAAGAGACTAATATTACAGTTCTTTACTAGCTTAATAGTAGAAATTTAGCTCTAGAGATAAATATATATTTATTATCTAATAGACAGCTGACTATTATACTATTATAGTAGATAGGACTTGTTGGAAATCTAGGGTATTGATAGCCTAGATATCCTTAGGCATGTGATCAGGGGAATTGATCAAGAGATAAGATAGATAATAGATAGATAGATATCGGGTAAAACCCATAGAATGAATTGACTAGATAGGCATGACTATAGAATAATAGAATGAGATTGACTAAACTGCTTCAATCTGATCAATCTGAATCAATATAAATCAATCTGTAGAATAGATGGAGATATAGGTCTATTTATGTTGAATAGGTGTAGACCTTAGGTCTGCAACATATGATAAAAATAGCATCTCAAGAATGAGATAGAAATGTATAGAAATGTATAGATTATATATAGAATGATCGAGATTGCATCATATATCATCACATGATGTTGGATCATGTGACCTCCAGTTCAACACACCCCCCCAGTTTTAAATATCTAGGGATACTCTAGATATTAAAACTGTGCAAGGATTAGTGAAATAAGCAGAAAAATTAGTCATTCTTGAATTTCTCAGAAATGTCTTTCATGTTTAAATGATTTAGAAAGACTTGATGCTTCTGATAAGTAAGGCGCTTGGTAAGTCCATCTGCAATCATCTGATTGGTTGGAATCCATGAAATTTGAATAGATCCTTTTTCAATCTCTTGCCTGAGCCAATGCCGGTGGATATCAACATGTTTAAGCTTGGTTCTATAAATAGAATTTTCCTTAGTCAGCAAATCAACAGTTTGTTGATTATCGCACTGAATGGTAAGCTTTTCTTCTGGATCAAATTCAAGTGCCTTAAATAGTTGTTTCCACCATAGAAATTGCCTGCTTGCACTGGTTAAGGCTAGGAATTCAGCTTCAGTAGTAGATAATGTGACCGTTTTCTGTTTCTTTGCTGACCAATCAACTGGTCCGCTAAATAAGCTGCAGATATAACCTTCAGAGCTTTTTCTGCCTATATTATCTGCAAATGCTGCATCACTGGCCATTTGAAAAAACAGGCTTCTTAAGACCTCTGTCTGATTGGCCTGAATATTCAATTGCTAGGTGCCTGTGGCTGTATAGATATGCAATCAATTGATTGATAGCATCCATATGCTTAGGTGTAGGATTCTGCAGGAATTCTGATAGTAGTCTGCAACCCTGAGCTGTATCTGGTCGTGAAATGATAGCTGCATATAGAGCTGATCCAACCTTTTGCTGATACTGATGAATAAATGATTTTGAGGCTTGATAATCTTCCTCTGATTCATTAGTTTTATATAGATTCTCTGATGGCAATGGTGTCTTTGGTGCTTTCTGATTGGTCAGGTGAAATCGATGAGCAATCTTTTCAATATAATCTGCTTGTGAGATCCAGAGCTTCCTGTTGGGTCTGTCTCTGAATATCTTGATATTAAGGAACTGGGTCATCTGACCTAGATCCTTCATCTGGTATGCTGATAAAAGTGAGTTTTTCAGTTGAATCATTTCTGCATACCTATTCTTATGATATAATATAATGATATCATCAACATATATCATTAAGATAATGTAGTCATTTGCAAATAGACAAGGGTCTTCAGGTATAGGTTTTAGCCCAAAGCGTTTTAGGGTTTGACCTATTTCCTTTTGCCATAGAAATGGTGATCGTCTCAAGTCATAGAGTGCTTTATGCAGCTTTAGCACTTTAGACTTAGGGCCATAGCCAGGCGGTAAAGAAACATAAATAGTCTCATCAATAGAACTATTAAGAAAGGCATTTACTGCATCTAATTGAACTGACTCTAGGTCAAAAGCTGCAGTTAATGCTAGAATAGTTCTTAGTGTTCTTGCAGCCAGAGTAGTTGCCCTGGTTTCTAGGCTGCTGATAGGTTGAAGATCACCTCGTACACAGATCCTGGCTTTGAATTTTGATAGAAATCCTTGATTATCAAATTTATACTTGAAGACCCATTTTAATGGTAGAACCTGAACCTCAGTTTGCTTGATAGAATCCTTAGAGACTAAGGACCATGTATTCATGTGATTTAGTTGCTGATATTCAACCTACTTCTAGGTTCGACCGTACTCTCCCCCAGGGTACGGGTGGGTCGGGCCCCAGGGCGGCCGCTGAGTGGCGGATGGCCCGCGGTGGGCCCCACCGGGGGGGGGGAGGGTACAGGGTTTTTACATACCCTCCCCCAAAGTCCTTCATTCCTGGGTCAATCGGTATGATTTTAGGATCTGAATTTTTCTTATTTTTTTCTCTAATTTCCTATCCCGGTCCGATTCCGCCTGCTGTATCATATGTGGTCGGACTGGTCCGGGTCTGATTTCATTAGGGTCTTGTTTTGTTGGGGTCTGCCAAGCCTTCCTGAACGGGTAGTCTATACCCAATCCAGCTATGATACAGTCTGTTTACCCTAATGAGATCATGCCTCAGGCATCTAATGAGATCACCTGCGAGCTGCCTGATCAATCATATCACCTCCGGAGGCCTGCACCCAGTTCCTATCACCATGATCCAATCGGTGCGCTCGGGTATGGTCCAGTCAGTTATAATCCAGTTGGCCAGTTTGGTCCGGTCAGTCCTGGTCATGTTGGTCCGGTCAGATCAGTCACGGTTGCGCTGGTCAGGTTGGTCATGGTCAGGTCAGGTCAGTCATGGTGGTGTTGGCTATGCTGGTCATGGTGGTGTTGGCCATGTCGGTCAGGTCAGTCAGGTCGGTCATGGTCAGGCCAGGGCAGTCATGGCCGTGTTGGTCATTGTGAATAGACTAGTGAATAGTCTAGTGAATGATTTAGTGAATGATTAGTGAATGATTTACTGAATAATTATTACATAATTGAGTGAATGATTTAGTGAATGATTAGTGAATGATATAGTGAATAATTAGTGAATGATTTACTGAATAATTAGTGCATAATTAAGTGAATGATGTAGTGAATGATTAGTGAATAATTAAGTAAATGACTAGTGAATAATTGGTGAAAGATAAACTGGATGATTTAGTGAAAGATTAGTGAATGATTAAGTGGATGATTTTATGAATGATTTAGTAAATAATTAGCGAATAATTAGTGAATGATTAAGTGGATGATTTTGTGAATGATTGAGTGAAAGATTGAGTGAGAAGGCTAGTATATAATCAAGTAAATAGTCTAGTAAATACAATATCTATTGATCTTTATACCAGATCAAAAAATCAAGGAAAATCGCCACTGCATAGAGAACCTCCATGTCTATTGGGCCCCATTGATATCCTAGCGCCTTTCGGATTATCTGGCTTGAATGGGCCTCCAGAGGCTCCCAGATATAAGAGTATTGCGGAAAGAGCTTTGCCAATAGCTTTCGATAATAGACCATCAGGCTCAGCCAGCCAGAAAGAATTGGAGGACTCTGGCAGGTTAACTGACTGTCTAGAGCCCCTCGGCAGACCTTGGTTGGTAGGAAGCAGGTAAAGCAGCAAGTATTGGCCTGCGGTTGAAATTGGGGCCGCCAGTCATAATCAAAACTGAATATCATCTCCTGAAATATCTGGCAGGTCCTAGAGCCATGCAAAAATTGTCGGGTCTCCAGGATTTCCCCTGGCTGACCATATTTCACGGATTGATCTAGATATATCAGTATTTAAATTCTAGTCTTTATATAAGGATCATAGTAGGATTAATCCTCAGGAGTAGAATCACTTACTATAGACTTGCCAGAAGCAGTAGAGACACTGATCTTCCCACCAGGTCTGCAGTCCATCTACTAGAGTTGTTGTCTGCTCTATACTGGTCTGGTAGTATTGCTGGGTTTGCTGAATAGTCTTTTGATATTGATCTGCTCGTGCCTGACAGAGATCACAGAGAGCCCAGTCTGCCTGGCAGGTCTCCAGAGCCTTATTATTAAATACCCGATAGATAGACCGCCGGCGGCAGATCTTTTCAGCCAGGTAGGCCCGGAACAGCCCCCGTTTATAGGAATCACTAGATCTGGCAATCAGGTCAGATGGTTTGACCAGGCACCAGGATGACCCTCGGTTATGTGGGCCCCTGGCTGCTCTACCTGATTCCTGCATGAAATCTGTAAATGACCAGGCGCCCTGCAGATGAATGATTAGACTGATATCTGAGAAGTCAAAACCGGCCCCAATAGCTCCAGTAGCTACAAGGATTACTGGACCTGCCTGACCTGCTTGACCTGCTTGACCTGC